TTTAAGATCAATCTTATTAATCAATTTCATAAATAATTATATATCACATAACACAATCAATTATATTCAAAATCAATCATATTAATCATTTTTTTAATGGATATCCAAACAACTCTTATTTTCTATGATAGTATCAAATATAGGTACACTAAATTTTGTGATGAAATGACTTAGGGGAAAAAAAGAAGATTATGTTCCTGTCATTAACATCTTGATTTGCCTTCTTGGGATGAAATGTTAAAAGACCGAAAAGGTTAAAAATATTAGGAAGAGCTCCGCAGGCGAGCCTTGATCCATGACTCCAGAGACTTAAGCTCCTCATTGTTTATTGAGTGGCCAAGACCAGGATAAGCCTACAAATACAATTAGTACAAAAGTAATCATCCAAAATTTAGTCATGACGGGCACGATGGTGTGATTCCTTAAATTAATGAATTGTTTAAACCACGGAGTATTACCTTAAACTCACAGCCAACACCAATTTTCTCAAGAAATGGGGGGCCTGCTTGTCCTGCCTCAAACAATACTGTTCTATCAGCAATCCCATGGGACCATAATATAGGTGTCTGCAGATACATGCCAAACTTACAGTGAGAAATGCCAAGTGAAAACCAAGATTTGGTTCACTTACTAGTCTATGAACCAACTTTATGGATTATAATTCCTCCACGAATTATAATAAATGGTAAGATGTTTGCTGCATTGTTTGCGTATTACCAGATATTTTGGATCCTGAAAATTCCCATCATAATTAACAGTGGCAACAGATATGCATCGGTATGTAATCGAAGTTCAAAAAGATAAAAATTCAAGGATGTGAGATCCTCATGGTTGCTGCTATCTTGAGTCACACTAGGAAGCTTAGATATCAGGCACCAAACACAGGAAAACCTAAATGCTTCTTTACATCTTAGAAACCAGGATAAAAATGACCGTATCAAACAATTCTTCAAGGCTGTTCCAAATGCAAGGAGAATTCGATAGTACTAGATACGCAAGTCATATATTCAATTTAGAGGCAGTCAGCACTAAACCGTATTGGTTGTCAGCCATCTTGTTTCATCTCACATCTAACCAAATCAATTTGATGACAAGGAACACAATATCATACCAGAGACAGTTTCAAAAAATAATAATAATATTAAAAAGTAAACTAGTACAGGATATATTAGCATTCCTATAAATTAGTACCCGCTTTGCCTCATTTGTAATTCGTTCGACCATAGATGAATTGAAAGGAACCCAGCCACTAAAAACTGCACCTCCACCTAAAGTTTTAGGGTATAGCAGAACACTAGCCAAGGTCAAGGCACCTGCCAAAAATTGTTACTTTTGATCATCAAGACATAGCGGTTACCAACACAGCAGAACCAATAACAAGATGTTCATACATGTGTTTTTGTTTCAAAGGTTGTTCTTGAAAAGATATTCACACACCCACACACAAATGGAACAGAAAAAAAGAGACCTCCTTGACTGAACCCACAGACAAATACATTGTTAGGGTTTGTGCCAGCAGCTATTTCCTTGTCTATAGTGGCATGCACATTCTCAACAGCTTTCAGTAAACCACTCTCGTCTTTTGGAGAATCCTGACAAATTATCAGCAAATTTTTTTGAACATAAATTGATGAGACGAACAGCTTCATCCTGAAGGAACAAGTAAATTTCCACATCTTGGAAATACATAGAGAAAATGAATGTTATATATGACCAATAATGTGACTAGGAACATGTTAGCAAATGCATGCGACAAATTGCTGGGTCTATAAACATAGCTTTCTAGCTAACTGAAGTAATCTAACCAAGCAAGTAAAATACATCCTTCAACAAGTTTCATGACATTCATAAAAATGCAAACCAATCACGTTTTCAAGATAAATTTGATGAGAAAAATGACCAAGCTATGTCCTCATTAGGATATCTGAATAACATGATTTTGCTGAGGAGGCAGCAAGAACAATCGTATGACCAACTGCCAATAAAACAGACTATGCTACTACTGTGTATTCCATAAGTATATCTCATACAGAAGGTGATGTCAAGTTTGGACCAGAGGCATGTTGATAAAACATTTTGATAACACTAAAATTTACAATTGAACTCAATATTCGACTTATTTTGATACATATACTGTGAAAAAAACTCTGAAGGCAGTCTGCTGCACAGATAATGGAACAACTAGGAGAACAAAAAGCATGAGTTCTGTAAAAAATAAGAATTGCCAAGTATTTCTGAAATATTTAATATATTTCCCTTCACATATTGAATATAGGATGGAAAGATAAACTTACAGCTGTCACAGGAATCTCGTGAATATCAAACCATGAAGGCATTACGGCACCATCTACAAGAAAAAAAATTATGTTCACTGTATTTCATAAGTGAAAAAGCATATTGTAAATCAACAATAGTGCTGAACAATAACTTCTAAGATAATAACAAGCTCACGTTGCTACTTAAAATTGACGTGATGCATTGCACAGCAATGATAGTCAAGCAGAAAATACATTTAAAAAAAAAAAAAAAACAGAGAGAAGAATGTGAGGAGACATACCACGAAATGGATAACAGTAGCACACATGGAAGTTAAGTTTAAAACCAATGACCATCACTCCAAAATTCTAATTAGAGATGACTTATAAGTTCATTTCATTGAGCGTGCACTTATATCTCCCTTTCGGTCAATTACATGGCATAGGCCTGGAATGGTTGATTTTGTCAGTAAAGATTTATGTAATTCACATAAAAAGTTCCTTGCTGAATGTGGTTATCACATTTGGGTTCCTTGGAACAACACAGATACACATGCATGCTTAATTTTCATGTGCATGATGCATCCTTAAGGTTTCTAAATTACTTTAAGCGTGACATTGTTGAATTGGTAAATGTGTGGCTGGTTTTGCATGCATGGGGTCACTTTATTGCTTCGAAATTTGTAACCATCCAATCTCCATCCCCTACTTCACTACTAACTGACTTGAAAGAATATAACTTCACAAATGCCTGAAAAAATCAGAGATAAAGACAATCAATGGAGACAATAACTTCACATTATTTGGCAGTGCGCACAAATCTGAAAGTATAAATAAGCAGTAAAATGCTTCTGTTTTGACCATTCAGGGCAGTAATGAGATTACTGTTTCACGATCTTTTGCAAATATCTGGACTAAAACAGCATAAAATAATCAGGAATCCTTAGTTTATACATAAAATCAACGCTCAAATTTACACATGGAGTTTCTAATAGAGAAAATATCAAAACCCTCGCATGCACAAAATGCGAATTGATCATAAGAAGCAAAAATTGATAGAAAGCGAAAGAGACTTACAGTTGCAAGTGACTGGATTCGAAGGCGCAGAAGGGAACAGCCATTTTGTATTTCTGAACTCGGGAGAAGTGAAGAGGGTCTTAATGGGTTCATTGGCAGGCCCAGAGTCTCCTAGACCATGAAGCCACAGGATAAAGCTTCGAGCCATGGAATCGGCTTCTCGAAAAGACGTGTTTTTGTGGAACAAAAGCACAATAAAAATGGCGATGCTCAGTGTGATTGTGGAGACTACAATCGGCTTTACCAAAAGCACGAGCTTCATCTGGAGTCGTCCATGGAGGGAGGCAGTGGTAGTTGAGCCAGATGTTCCTAGTTATTAAATTGCCCCTCTCTTTTGTTGTTTCCCAAACAGACCCAGTTGATTGCATTTTCATATTGGGGTTCATGCTTCATGGGGCCCAAATCAATATTGGGGTTCATGCTTCATGGGGCCCAAATCAGATTGTCTGGGATTTAGATCCGAAGTTCACGTACTCAATAAATATATAATGTATCATAACAATAATAGTTAGATTTAATTAAACAGCTATAAAAAAATTTTGTCATATAATACGTATAATATATCAAATCTAAAATTTTTCAAAGGGACAATATATGTGATGAATAGTTTGATTGTGATAGTTGTTTTGATTTTTTTGAAGATAATTGTATTTTAATAATTCTTTAGTATTGATAAAATTCAATAGTTTTGTTTAAGACATATTGAGTGAGTGTATTTAAACCCCTCACCAAATTCAAATCTGATTGATCCATTCTCTATTTCCATTTCTAGTCTTCACTTTTCAGTAGGATTTAAGCTCTATGTTATTATATTTTTAATAAATTAAGTGATAGTAAGGCAAAGTTTAGGAATTATGTTTAACCAAATCAAAACTATAAAAATTTGATTGAATTTTAATTAAGTAAAAATTATAGGAATCAAATAATTAATTTTTTCTTAAGAACATCATATTAAAAATAAAACACTATTTAAAATTCTTTTTGCAGCCAAAATGTTTTTTTGCTGTGTTACTTTTTTTATTTTTTAGATAACATTTCATTTTTTATAATTAATTGAATAGAATATTTAGATAATATATAACTGACCTAAATTAGCATTGCATAACATGTTAAATAATTTATTTACATAATAATCAAACTAAATTCAAATTTTGATAAGAAAATTATGATTAAAATGACTGAAGTTAAAGTAAACTATAGGTTAAGTCAGGCCATTGTAGGTGATGGCATGAAGAAGAGCTCGCAAGATCAACCTCTTGTCAAAATTTATGCACATATTGGGTGTGCGCGTGTGTGCGTTAGTCAGGGAAAAAAAAATAAAGTCCTCCCAAATGACTGTTAAGACACTTGAAGAGCATATCTATTTTTATTGATGAAATGAGCGCCTAACATTATGTTTCTTCAAGAAAATTATTATTTAACTACATTTATTCTTTCATGAAAATTAAAATCACAAACTTATGCACAGAAAATTATTTTTTCATGGACATCAAATCAGAGAAAATAATTTCTACCATACAAAAAAAAACAGAAATTTTGAAGTGAGATCATCTTTACTGCCTGCTGGTTTACTCCTTGCACTAAAAAAAGTACAGAAATATTGAGCATGATTTTCACAACATGAAGTCAACACTCCCATATCTAAATGAAACATAGAAGATTTGGGCAAAAGAAGAATAGAGTTTGCTAAAATTTGATAGCGTACACAGTAAATTGGGCTTTCAAATACAACACGGCCAAGAAATACCCCACCCATTTATTTATCAAAAAAAGAAAGAAAGAAATACCCCGCCCAAAAGTAACAACTTGACGTGCCACAGCCACAGCCACAGCCAAGCAACAAAATCATGAATATTCAATTCAAATTAATTAAATCCCAATATCTTTAAGGGTATGTTTGGATTGAGGAGAATGGAAGAATGGGGAGGTGAAAAAAAATGTTTGATTTAGACAGTTTCTTTGATGTAGATTTGAATAAAGCATTTCTTTTCTTTTCACCCTGTCCCATTTTTCTCAATCCAAAACATAACGAGTGAGTCTTCATCGGAAGGATTGTGGGTCAAGTCAGGGGTAATGAAGCCCCATCGTTTTCAGACTGCTGCATGATATTTATCCATTGTCTGTTTCATTCCGTCCAGCTGGGACATTACAAATTCAAGTTTCTTGAAACAAATCTCGCTGCCTATTCTTGAACCATAGTCGCAATTCTCAAATGGACGATACTCGCAAGCACTTTTGATTTCATCACGTAATGCCATTTGGATGTCCTGCAAAATTTATAATAGAAAAAATCTGGAAAGTTGGGAACTTCACATGATTGTAGCCCTCCAAAGTTCATAATGGTGAAGCAAAATCAGATACCAGTTCACCGAGCATAATTTCACAGCCTCATTTTCACCATGCTAACCTTGGATTAAAGATAGGTTCCCTGACACAATTTATTTCATTATTTCCTAGTATGCAAAGGCCAAACTATCATGGGAGATGTTCTCATAGACTCTGATAAAGAATTCTGAATATCCACCCACTAAGAACAATAAGAACAAAGAATAACGGATAAGCCTCTAGGGTAGTACCCAAAAAAGGCACAGATACTAACAGAGATAACTCCAGAAAATATTGAAGTGTCTATGTGCCAATTTGAACTGTCCGATCATGTCAAACTGATACAAGTTCCATACAAGGACACAACTTTGTTTTTGAAGCGCGGTGTCACAGTCTTGGGACTTCTCTATCCTTGAACTATGCTGGCCTTAACATGATCAATCTCTTGATCTTCGTTAAATCAGCCGAACCCTCAGAATGTAGGCAAAGGAATAAGGAAACTTGAACACAAGAGAGAAGAGAGCTTGGATGAGAGAACTTGAGAGCTTTATTGATATGCTTACATTTGCTTGTTTACAAATGAAGGGTGAGGGGCTATTTATAGATTTTTCCCTTATTCTAGAGTTTTCCCACATCCTTAATGGACGGTGGAGATTAATCCAATCCTACGGTGTACATTTATCCCCTAGAGTGTTCTTTAAAAATATCTACAGTAAATATCTAGATATTTACAAGGATGTTTCTAGAGACTAACCTTCAAAATATGTGTGAAATATTCGAGAACATCCTAAAATATTTTAGATATCTCCACATTCCTCCATAAGTTTCTAAAACCTTCTAGAAACTTTTAGATTTTTCTAAATTTCTCTAGATAATTCTAGATTGTTCTAGATGCTTCTAAAACATTCTAGAACATACTGGATTTTTCTTGAATATCTTGAAATTTTCTCCATTATCTTGCAGGTCTCCAAAAACTCCACAACCTTGTCAGTTCTCTTATATTTAAATATAGGTTGTGACAGCGGGCTCTATAAGGCACCACTAAACTAATAAAGGAAAGAGTAAGATCTAACAGTTGTTGAGCTAACCTTCAATGCCGTCATGAAAGATGTCTATGAAACCACGTGACACTAACTCAAATGGTAAAAACTGGAATGGAATGCGGGTAGTGTATCCAGATTTAAACCTTTCGCACATTATGCCTATGAAAAGGAAAATAATCCATTCCGCTATAGTTCAGAGATATACTGCTTGCAAGCAAGATTAGTTTAATCTGGGGCCTCCCATGAGAATTTTGTTTCTGTACAATGCTAGGCTAGGGATTTGTCTTATGGGGTGGGGCTTCAAAAACATGCTTGGATCCTCTTGAATAAATTTACTAGCAAAACAATAAATTGGAGCTTTGAGCTTCAAAAGGGAATAACCTTAATTAATTGCATGAAATCGAGACAGTGGTTTTGGACAACTTCTTTCCTAGGACCAGCAGGGCTCGAAAGCTCATCCATGACACCTCCTGCAAGCTCCAAAACCTTGACAATTCTCTACACACAAGCAAGAAAGAAAGAAAATCAATCTAAAACTTTCAAGTTCTGTCACTTCACTGGTGTAATATAGTGTTGCTTCTTGATGCTTTTGATATTACCTTCTCCACATTTTGAAGTCGCTGTAAAGAAGTTGTCTGGCCCTGTGAATCCATAATCAGTGCACTTCCTTGAGCTGTATGATTTAAGTCTGAGAAAGCAAACAACAATAAGCCAGGTTTGATAACCATCGAATCCAGCATTCACCGTTTTATAGTTTGAACCACATAAATTCTTAGGCGTTCACTAAAATTATTCTGTAATGCATAAAAACAGTATCATAAATCAAGTGTTCTTAAGGACTTATATAAAGTTGCAATGTCTAGTGTTCTTATTGGGAAATTAGAGCGACACAATTCTAGGGGCCAACACTCATTAAATGGGAAAACTTTCACATAAAATACAAATTTTACATCAAAGCACATGTTAAACGAACTACCCAGAAGAAAATACTTGGGCGGTGGGTAGGGAAAATCCTCCCCTACTACGGAAGATAGAATGCCATTGCTTATTGCATTTTTTTTTCTTTTCTATCATTGAAGTAATCAGTAGATTTTTGTGAAGATCCATGCTGTATTTTAAACAGCTACACCCCACTTTATCGCAGCCAAGCACCGATCCCAAAGTCCATTCAATTAAATTAGGATGAACGATACCGATTTAATCCAATTTAGGAGATTGATATTATACAGACATAGATGCTTGTGAAAAGAATTACCAGTTCGGCTAGAGATTGAAGGCTCCGAAGGTTGAAATTGGTCGACGGCGGGCGTTGGCTGCGCCAAATTAACTATCACTAAGCAACGCTCTCCTCCGGGAATCAGGGCTGAAGTGAAGCCAGGATCAGTTTTTTACTTCTTTTTTCTGGATCAAAAAGCATTTTAGGTTGCCAAACTAAAAACCTACTTTAGGAGAAGTATTTCATTATTTTGAACTTTGAGGTTGGAGCAAGGACACGGAGAACTTGGTCGATGATTTTCTGACGGCGAAGATGCTTTCACGAGCAAGATCTCACCTCTTTTTTCCGGGGGCACATTTTTTGTAAACTGAATTTACGCATTTGCCCCGCATAGTAAAGTCAGCGATCAAAATGGGAGATTTGACTGAGTGACACGCGGGGTGATTTTATTGGCGGTTAGTTTTCAAGCGGACACCCCGATGGAGTTTTTTTTTTTTTTTTTTGGTGTGTGTGTGTCAACGATGAAGTTTTTAGTTTCGCCGAACCTAATTCGCGTTGAAGACCATAAATTCGGAGCAGCCAGCTGCGGAAGAAGCAGAGTTCATGGCGGCCTCGAAGCTACAAGCCTTTTGGAATCATCCGGCTGGCCCAAAAACCAGTGAGTCTGACCGCTGATCGTTTTATTGCTTTGAGCGAATTCCTTTCGAATATTTACATTTCTGCGCCTAGTCTTTTTCTCTTCGATATGACGCTTCGGGTTTCCATATCTCAACGACTTCCTTTCACATGGATCACTTCTGTGAGATTAGTGCTATACACACCTATTTTATATGAATGCATATGTATCCTCCATTTTTATTGGGATTTTTTTTATTAATTTCCTGGCCGGCTCCTCTTGTCCTCTACTCAGTTTTGAGAAAATTAGGGTCTTTTTTGTGGTGCCCCAATGGCGCTTGGTTGACCTCATGTTTTGCCTAAACCGGATCGTTTCTTTCGCTGTGAATGTTCATTAAAATTTGGACTAGGCACTTGAGAATTGATGGGTTTTCTTTGGTCTCTGTGACGTTGTTAGTGTGCCCTCCGGATGGTATTCATATTCAATTCAGAATCAGATATATCCTTTTTTTCTTGAAATGTTCACATGCCTTGAGAATTCATTACAACGTGAAAGGGGTACATTGAGAAAAACAAGACCAATAGAGGGAAACTATTAAAATCAGAAGCACGCCCTGAATGTATCATGTATAGTCCAACAGATTGATCTATCAATGAACATCTATAAGTGGCTTCAAAGTGTAGCAAACCAAGATTATGGCACTTGTATGGATGACCTTGACAAGTGTTAAAGATGCTTTCTAAAAGTTTAGTAAATAATAGAGCACAATGGCGTCTTGCAATTCATGTAGCCAACCCCACCTAGTGAGATAAAAACTTCTTCTTGTTGTTGTTGTTGTTGTCTATTCAATTTTCCTTTGGTTTAGATTGAAACGATTGCTGAAATCTTTCCTGTGTAATCTCCCAAATTAACCTTCGACTTCTTCTTTGGCACTAAGATGGACTTCTGGGTGATTGAGATCAATAGTTTATGATTTGAATTGAATTGAATGAATGAGAATGATGAAACAATTGCCGCTACACTAGCTATCATGCCTGTCTTGCCCTATTAAGGTACCTCATTCCAAACTTACATGAAATCTGGAAAATCCCAAAGATGTTCGATGTTGCTGCTGAATGCAACTCAACCAAAGCCCATAATGCCTGTAGTTTTAAATAATTATCATTGCGCGAGCAGAAAGAGGGGACAGCAGTTAGGAAATGAAAATTTGAGAAGAATAACCAACGAAAAGTTAAAAGATGATTTTCATTTCCTTCCAAGAGCCAGATATATTCTTGGGGCGCAGATAGGGGATGAAAAGACAAAAGCATACAGGCTAACTCATACTTTGACAATAGACACTCTCTCTTTGGGCTACGATCCTTGCCTAAGATCAGTGCTTCCTTTTTATTACAATCTTTGGAAGGTTTTATGTGAAATTACCAGCTGTTTCTTACTTGTGTATACCATGTGATTTAAAGAACGCTTTGGGACTAGAATTTGTTTTTGAAATATGAAAGATTGAAAGACAAATGAAGTTGTTCAATCCTGAAGCTTTAGTTGGATTATAACCAGCAGAATGCTGATAAGTGATGCAAAGAAAGCACTTCTTTTAGGGTAAATTTTTTTTTTTTTAATTAAATGGTTCTTAGTGCCCCCCCCTGCCCCCTGGGCGCTGATTTTCACTGCATTGTCATCTTGGAAGCACCAATGTTGCTGTTAACAGTTATCTTCATTTTCAAGTTTCAATACTAAGGCCTATAATCGTTTTTTCTGTGTAGTTCACTTCTGGGCACCTACATTTAAGTGGGGCATCAGCATTGCCAATGTTGCTGATTTCACGAAACCACCTGAGAAACTCTCCTACCCTCAGCAAATAGGTAGCGCATTTTATCTGTCTATTATCTTCCCCCACCCCTTTCACAAACTTACATGCTTATCATGCGCACATATGCACATGTGTGCATGTCTAGATACCTTTCAGGGTCCCATGCCTAGTGGATGAGTATGTGACATGCTGTGTGTACAAAATGAAATTGTTTTCTGGAAGAAGTTTTGGCTTATCCTCTCCTGCATTGGGTTTGATTTTACCTTCATGATGCCATTTCCATTTTTTTTGTCCAGCGGTCACAGCTACTGGACTTATCTGGTCACGTTACAGCACTGTGATAACTCCAGTAAGTTTCTTTTTCCCTTAGACATCTTGTTTTTCAACGGTTTCAGCCATTGATAATGTATCTGTGGCCAACGCAGTCCTTTTCCAAAGCTGCTTGTCAGAAATACTCATATTCCATTCCAATTAACCAAATGGGAGCTAACTGTATTATTTAAGCACTTTTAGTCTTTTCTGTGCTACAATTTCATCTTCACTTTTTATGATGAAAAAGGGTCATTTGCAAGTCGGGAAAACATAAATTGCTTAATAAAGCCCTTTGTGAGTATCATTGGGAGTATGATTTTCTTTCTTGTATCTATGAACAATAGGATTCTGTGTGATGGAAATATATTCATGGCCATTATTTTTTATGTTGCAGAAAAATTGGAACCTATTTAGTGTAAATGTCGCAATGGCAGCAACAGGGATATACCAGCTCACTCGCAAATTACAGTAAGTAGCTTAATTTTTTTTAAATTTGGTTTTGGTGTCAGATGAGGATAAAATTTTGCAAAAATTACACTCAAGTCCCCCATAACAATTAAATATCACAAGGTGCATTAGCAATTGAGTATAGCAAAATAACAACTATTTCAATTGTCAATGGACTTTGTGGTATTTTAAATTGTGTTGTGGAGGACCTAAATATAATTTTCTCTAAAATTTTCCAGTATACATGCTCCAGCTTTATCAGAGGATTAAAATTTTATAATTTCAAAGGAATGAAAAAAGGGGCTTTTGATAGGGAATAATACAATTTCAAATTCAAATGAAAATCCTCTGGCTTACAAGTAGTTCCATTAGAACGTTTATTAAGTTGTATAGCACATTCTTGATATCTTTGCACTGTGGCTGCAATATTATTGTTGGGGTATTTGCTATGAAATGCTTGAATGCTTAGTGTGAAGAGCTTGTTCTTCTCATAGTCATATTCTTCTTGTTGGTGCTTCGACTTGCATCTTCATGAAACAATCCTTAATTTTATATTTCTTCCCCAGGCACGACTATTCCTCCGAGGCAGACGCAACTGTTGCTAAAGAATGATGACGAAAATCTGAGAGAATCTGAACTTGTGAAGTTGGGTCTAGAAGCCACTCATTTGCCCTGATTGTAATTTTCGGCTGTGGAATTATTGGCGATGGGAAGGCTCTTGAATTTTCTGTCGTTTCATTCTTGTTTATAGTTTATTGAAAAATAAGGTAAACTCAATGCCACAGGTACCTTATTGGTAGTACCTGTGGCTAGATGTTTGAAAATCAGATGCTAAGATTTTCGAACATTCTCTTCATTCACTAACTATTCGAGATGTGTTTAGTAGAATATCATCTTACATGTGGAAACTCCAAAAATATGGTCCTTTTCCAAATATTTAAATTTTTTAATCAAACATTAAATAGTGTAAATTCTGGGTTTAAAAAAAGCGCAAATACTATATTAACTTGTACTAAGAAAATGTAAGATGATGTACCTAATAGCTTGTAATACAATTAATCGCATAACATTACTGTACACACGAAAGGGGTAAAATCCCCTTGCACAAAATATGGGTAACGAGAAGACAAATAAAGTTATAGAGGTACAAAGCTGGGATCTTCCTGTTCAATTCCCCAAGAAGACAGGCCAATCAAGCACAAGGCAGACAAGGTGGCTTGACATGTTTTGAAGCAAGAAAAATTCTACCAAGGTAGGTTATATGTGTGAATTAGCTCATGGTTTGATGAATTGAATATCATTATGCCATCTCTTGTTCATACTAGCTGCAATATTAAATACAGGAGTTAGATAATTAATTTACAGATTATAAAATTAGTTATTTATAAAAGAAATGTGTTTATTTTCTTTCTTTCTTTCTTTTGATAAACAAAGAAAAGCAAATAAAAAGAAATACAACCACTCTACAGAACAAGTCAGAAATGAGTAAACTTTCCCCAGAGGTAGAAAATGATAACCAACAAAACCGCTAGAGCATGTTTCGCTATAAGATCTGCAACCACATTATCCTCTCTACAAATGTATCCAAGATCACTAGGTCAATCCCCGATGAAGCAAATGATGACATTCAGAGATCAAATCCCAGTGAGCATGAAAATCATTGTATGCATCTTTAATCAAATTCAGAGCCTCCAGTGAGTCACTTCTGAAACTCACATTCCTATAGCCACCATCCCAAGCTCTTCGAAGACCAATAACACATGCCCAAAGCTCAACCACAAGATGATCTCCTTCAAGTAATTTAAGCATAAAAACTTTCAAAGGCTAATGATGATTGTCTTTAATGATACCACCCTAGCTTGTATTAAAATTAAGATGAGAATGAGCTCCATTTACAAAAACACTAACCCAACCTTCCTTCTAAAAGAGGGGATCCAACATCCTTCACAACACCCCAAATATTCACCCTCCTCAAATTCATTCGTATTAAAGCCAGAAACAATAGCCTTAGCCCTTCCAGGTTAAAAAAAAAAAAAATCAGCCAACAAACATTTCCTTCCAATGCCCTTCAACCCCACCCCACTTAAAATACTCCATTTAATCATTTACATTTGTACTACCTCTATTGATAGAAACCCTCTTTCATATGTGCATCAATGGTGTTACAGGGATGGTTTGGGAAACCATGACAAAATAGACTAAAATCTTACACTTAACATCAAAGCAAGCTCTCCAACTCCCTCTTAAAAAAAGGGGGAAAAAGGAAAAGAAAAAAGAGGTTTGGAATAAACTCTGAGCGAACGTCAATGATCAATACCGCGCATAATGACAGAAACAAGGGTTCAGTGAAACCATGGTAGGAATTAAAAGCAGATTCATGAGAAATGTTATTTGAATTAAAAAATTCACCCGAAAAACATATCGTCTGTAAGTCCAAAATGTCCTATCCCAGTAAATATCTGGGGAAAAAATATTCTTTCTAATGATAAGTGAAAAATGTATCTATTCCTACAGTACAAATTATAAGCAGCCCTGCAAGAACACTCAGATGAATACATACTAAATGACCGGGTGAGCAGAAAGCCAAGGTGAAAATTCCATTTTGTAGGACACAAATGTGTACGCTAACGCTTCAAGTTTCCATCTTCCAGAGAATAAGGAAGCTTTGAAACACTGTTCCGGTGGCTACCTGAGTTTGGCACGTTACTGGCCATCTCTTGTGTGACGATTAGGTTTTAGATCGGAGTCATGCTCGTCATCATGGGATGTCAAGCCCAAACTTAAATCCAGCGTGCTTTCATTCAGATCCTGACGTACTCCCTGATTTTTTTCCTGAGACAAATGAAAACCCCAAATCAATATCATAATGAAAAGCTCAGTAACTCCCCAGGACTTAAAACAGGATAAATCCAGAGAAGTTAGTTCCACATAACAAGTCTCAGTTACATCATACAACTCAGTTCCAAGTCCAGAAAGACAGTGAGCACTGTCATAATCTAGTCTAACTGCAGAAAATGTGTCGTTTCATAATTTTATCATATACGATAACATGCATGATAAGCCTTGGGTTCCTACAACTTTATCATCATGTTGATTCTACATGCCAACCAGCTGCAATTGTTACTATCCAGACAATAACTCATCTGAGGACTCAGATGAATATGAAAAGAAACAAGTGACTGAAGAAACGAGCGGAAGTTCACCTGACTTTCTTCTGCAGGGACATCATTGATGTCAGGTTTATCATTCAAAGCAACACCCTTGCCAGTTGGTTCTGTTGCACTTGAGTCAATATCAATTAGTTTAGCTTCATCATCAACCTTTTCAGCATCCTCATTTTCGGCAGCCTCATTATTCTGCTCCTCTAGTAAGGCAACCTATGCCAATGAACAGCCCAGATGACCAAGCATTCCCGATGAGTGGTAAAAAGGAAACCAATATTAATCTAGTTATCTTTCTAGACTTAAAACAGAAGGCAGGAGTATTGAAATGATTCACCAATCAACAATGTAACAAGTGACATCAGGAACACAAATGTGAGCATTATAACCGTTTAATGGATTCAGTTGAGTAACAGAAATTTGAACCATAGTATTAAATGGAAAATCAGCAGGTGATTCTTGTTTTGAATGGTACATTCCACCTAATCACCAGAGAATGTGTCATTTTTTTATGGAACACGACCAACATTGTTAGTTAAAGTAGCAGGTTCATCTCCAATATGAGTGTGAAGTTAGTGAAGCAACATTACAACACAGACTTGCTCCCCAGATTATCGTCCATCAACTATGATATCAGAAACAATTCTTGTCAATATCACAGCATCACTGAGTACGGAAGAGCATAAACCCCATGGCTAGTAGCATCAATATCTCAGTTTGCAAATCTTCCAAGTGGCAAAGCATACCACATCCTTCAGAAAACAAACTAAAAGATACATCAAGGTCATCACGAACACTACGCTTTGCATAACATTCGATCCCCATCAATTCCCTCACACCAGTGAAGTTATAATGCTATCACTAATGCAAAATACTCCGTATATTCTTGATCAATCAATTATAGATTTCAATCTATATTAGATGTAGCAAAATCAAGGATCCTTCCCCCCCCCCTCCTCACCCACACACACAAACTCACGAGAAACAGAGCAATCCATTAGAGAAATACAGGACAAAAAATGAGCCTGACAGATAATAAATTTTGAAAATTAAGGAAGTACAGCAGTTAGGTCATCCCATATTATTTCAGGGTTTCCAATAGCACAAAAGTAACATATTCTCACATTTTGGTCCCTATGTTTAACTAGAAGAGAATCGTATTTCTACCCACCAATGTTGAATGACAAATAATCTTAAAAAGTTAACAAATCCTCAAATTTCAATCATTCTTTCTCTTTCCCCATTTAGTGACAGGAATGACTGTTCCCAAAAAGGAAATATACAAGAATCAAAACCAATTCATGCTTGAACAACTAATTCCCTATGTTTAACTAGAAGAGAATTGTATTGTTACCCAATGTTGAATGACAAATAATCTTTAAAAGTTGACAATTTTCAAATTCTAATCATTCTTTCTCTTTCCCCACTTAGAGATGGGAATGACTGATCACAAAAAGGTAAAGACAGAAGACTCAAAACCAATTCGTGCTTGAACAACTGATTCCCTACGTTTAACTAGAAGAGAATTGTATTTTTATCCAATGTTGAATGACAAATAATCTTAAAAAGTTAACAATCCTCAAATTTCAATCATTCTTTCTCTTTCCCATTAAGTGATGGGAATGACTGATCCCAAAAAGTAAAGATGCAAGAATCAAAACCAATTTGTGCTTGAACAACTGATTCTCAATTACCATCAACGTTATATTATGCAACATACAAAAAATTGAACTACAAATACAAACACACAAAAATCATGACAGAAAACTATTTCAAACCATTAGACAAATAGGGAAAAGCAAATAAGTCTTCCAGGAAACAAGATTTTGAGGAATAAGACAAAATTTATCAGCATAGAAACTAGGCTTTCCGGGGGTTCAAGTTCCAACCACCGTTCAAAATATTTTACGAGCATGACACACGAGATATGTAGAATGAGTCACAACTTGTCTGCATCCTCTAGGCAATGCATGTACTTTAGCATCTTAAATGGCAAAAAACTCCAAGCAGCAGAACCCCATAAAAGACAGTTCATTTTGAAAAACATAACATATTTGGTAGATATTGGATGATTTTGCCACCTACATACTTGAGGAGATTGGAAGTGAAAGTAAATTTTCTGTTCATGCATTTATACATTTGAATAATCAAAACAGGCCATAGCATAAGGTCCACTTACTGATAAATACACAAAAAATGTATTCTTTTCAAGGTACATTGCCATGAACTAAGCAGATAAGCAATAAACTCTTTTATGTCACAACATCCGAAAACCCAAAGGGTTCAGTTTATCAAACCAATAATTCAGTTTGGTATAAATTTCCAATGAATACATTTCTAAGCCCAAGGTACCTTGAAATGCTCTGAGCTTATACTCATAAAGCCTCTAGCCACAACGACCAACTTACATGCAGGTCATTTTCACCTAACTCAGGAAGCTAGTAATAACCTCACTCTCCATGTTCCCCCTTAATCTCAACACTCCAACCTCAAATAATCAGCTCAACAACTATGGCTAGAAACTTGATTCATAAAATACATGCCTTTTCTTTTAATTTTGTTTATGGATTTCTAATCACCAAATCCTGTCTTGCCACTCTCAATTCATCCAAAATAAGGAAAAAAAGGAAACCCTAGATTGAACTCTTGGAAACAAAAAATCAAGCATCAAACTAATCAAAAAGAGGTCAATATTAGCTGTAAGTCACACGAGTACAGGTCATTTCCAATAAAGTTAAACCTACCCCCAATATCTCAACCTTACCACCTAAGAAAACCCTTGAAAATTCATGTCGATGTGAAAAGTGGAAAATTTGAAAGGAGATCAATGTCAATAAAATACCGGAACATATTTGAATTTCCTCCGAGGTGGCTCCTCGGATGCCGTCCCAACCACCGTCTCGTCCTTGCCGGAGCCACTGTCCCCAGTATTATTGTTGGTATTAGCGACCCCGTTGTTGTTGTTGTTGTTGTTGTTTTGGTTCTGGCTTTGGGTGATAGGGGTCCATTTGTAAAGCACCAGATGGGAACCGTTATTACCGTTAGAAGTACCGTTTTGAGGGTGAGAGTGATTGTTGTTGGAGTTAGAAGAAGCAGAAGCGGAGGGCGATACGTTGACCCATTTCTTCTTCCACTTCCTCACCGGCCCAGTGAACACCGTGGCCGGTCCGTACCGAGTCGAGGACCGGCCTAGTCGGGCCCCAACCCCCTCCATGAATTGCCGGCGGATCTACGGTGGCGACTCCGATCCGCGCTTGGATCGAAAAGGGGATGAATTATAGAATTTTTTTTTTTGGACAAAAATTGAAATTTGGATCTCTCCCCCTCTCGGAAAATTGAAAGCCTTTTCTTTCTCTCTCTAGAGACGTGTGTCTCTAGTTCATTTTATAGTTTAGTGCCCATCGGACACTTCCTATTCAGTTTTGTTTATACTATTGCCAATCATGGCCGTCCATGGCTTTTGCCCTTTCCCGATCAAGGATATTTACTTTTTCAGTTTTTCTCTCTCTTTCTTATTTATTTGTTTGTTTCCGATTTGTGTATGTGTATAGTATACTAACTTAGTTACATAAATAACTTTTTTACGTTCAATTAAAATTGAATAGATAGATTTTAGTTTAATTTTAAAACTATATAAAATTTTTATTTTTAAAATTTATACAAATTCTTTATACAACAGAGGATAATTACATACTGGTCTATCTTTATTAAATATTTTAAATTTTTATTTGAAAAGGAAAAAATCTAGATGCTCAAGTATTTGCTTCCAATCAAATCAAAAAATTTAAATTATATATATATATTATTTATCATATAAAAAATTTATTAATATTAAATATATAAAATAAAATATTTAAATATTTTTTAAAAAGATATGCCTGCTTTTGTTTTCTTTTCTTTCCTTTTTTTATTGAACAGTGGATCAAAAGCCCAAAAATATGCATACTTTTCTAGAAACATGAAAAAGTCTCTGTATTAATTTTTAACTTTTTTAGAGTAATCTGTATATATTATTACTATAACTCTGAATAGGTGTAATTTATTCTTTGTATAAACTTAAAAATAAAAACATTTTTGCACCATTTCAGGAAAACTACAAGAATACATGTTTGGAAATTAATCTTGTACTACCTATATTTTCCTCATCAACTTTTTCATTTTGTATTTTAGTGGTGTATAAATTATCTGAACTCTTCTGACTATACCATACCTCAGGAATTAAATTTTTCTGGGACAGTTAAAAATAATGAATATATTTTCAAGTATTGTTTATTAGTTTAGAAGAAACACAGGGTGCAAAAGAAAATATAGTGTGTGTGTGTGAACTTTGCTAATTCCTTACAACTGATCAAGAAGGGTCTTTGATTTTTTTTTTTATCAACCGATGTTACTGTATATGGCACTACTTATATTTCCTTCATTTAAAAATATAAAGTATTTTTAATGTTTTAAATTACAATTAATTTATTTTTTTAAAATATCCATAATAAATAAATTACTTTATATTTATTTTAAAGTGACACACTCTATTCAATAAAAGTAAATGTAAAAAAATAATACTGGTTTAAAGATAATTAATTATTTTACTGAAATGTAATTCAATTAAAAATACATATCATTTTTTTAACACAAGGGTTATCTCTTATGTTATATATCAATCGTGTTGAAGTCATGATTAAAGTTTGAAGGTGGTATTATAGAGCACCACAGATTAAAGACATTATGCTCACAGCATTCTGAGTATATGTTCCGACTAAGTTGTGCATGCATGCTGACTTTCTTGTGCGAGATAAGAACAAATCCTTTCCACCAACAATCCTTACTTCCGAAGAGATTCTGGGTTACTGTGCTTTTAGAATAGTTCGAATCATTTGAATTTATAACCCCATCCACAAGTGATAAAAACGAATCTTCCATCAATTGTTAGGTTCCCTTGAATGCATATATACATACACATACACACACAATGCATATATACACTCCCTCAAATTTTATTTATAAAACATTTTTTAAAAATAATTTTTAATTCAAAATATATAACACTTTGCAACAATTAAACCACTTTTTTTTTAATTTTATTCATTTTTGATTAGTGTAAAGATATTTAATATAATTGTATTATTATTTAAAGCTAAAAATAAAAATAAAAGTGCACCTTACTTTTATTACGGTATCAAAAAAAAATTAATTTCTTTTAATATATATGAAACGGTTAATAAAGATCGAAATAAATATACATATATTCTCCCATCTCTCAGAGGCCCACTTTGGTCTTGGTATAGAATGCACAAAATCACAGGCCAGTGAGGTGTGGAGCAAGACAGGTAAACATTTTCAATTATTTTTATTGAAAAGAAGAAATGCCAGCTAACTTATTTGATATGTCTTAAAAATTTTCAGTTTTATTTCTATTAAAAATAAAAAGAGAGATATACAATATATGATAGTTATAAAATTGAATTTACAACATGAGTAAAATTAAAAGGTTATAATAAATAATTCTCTATGTGTGTTATATGAAGGATCAAAGAATTCTTTTAAAATTCTAGTATTTTATAATGTAATAAATCAAGATTCAAATTTTCATTGGGAGATATATCCACATTTAGTACTTAACCATGTCTTGAACAAGGCTATCTCTAATATGATAATACTTATGAGTAATAAAAATAAAATACTTCTAGAACATGCCATATGATAAGGACCGGGGAGGTATGTGTGTATATACATGCCCACACTTATTATTACTATGTCTTAGCATGCATCATATGATATATTGATACATAATGTTAACCAAAAGAATCAATGTTTTTGGTCTAGATTCGAATACAATCGTGTCTAAATAGATTTGAAGTTTCTACCATGCCCTTCTAATATCCAAAAATCATAATCTTCATTTAGGATAATTAAATAAAATTTCTCTAGCCCTTGGTGGAAATGAAAGGCTGAAATGTTGAGTACTAGAAGTGGCAACAAGGAAAATAACAAACACCCCAAATTCTTTTTAAACAAACATAACTTTGTGTGTGTGCGTGTTTTTTTTTTTTTTTGTTTATGGACTCGCAAAGTTTGAACTTACACTTTGTACTTAAAAATGATATAGTTTCCTTTACTAGATCTAAGTATTATATATATATATATATATATATATATATATGTGGTTCTCGAATCTTTTATTTATCATAACATGTTTCTTGCTTGCACTTGTGTGTTAGGTTTTCAGCAGGATGGAGTGAAAGGAAGTAGGAACCAAGACTCATGCAATGCATTGATGCCTATACCAATGATCTCCCCAAGAAACACTTAGTTTCTCAATTGATGGTATTTAAAAATGCCCTACCCCCTCCATCCCATATATATTTCATACCGTGTAAATTAATAAGATTTCACAAGTATGAGAATCAATCTTATAATAAATATTTAAGTCTCACGTGAGATTTTAAGAATTTTCGTAAAGAATTAAATTAATTGCCTTATCATGTAGGATAATAAATCCTCGTAATATCGTGATTCACAATTTGTATATATTACATAAACAAATTTTTATAAATAAAATAATAAACATTTTTTATAATATTAATTAATTAAGTTAATAATTATATTGTCTAATTAGATCTTGTGGTCATGTGAGATTTTTAAAACTCCGTAGACCTTTAAGATAATCGTACTACCGTGTGAGTCAATAAGGCTTCACAAGTATAACGATTAAGATTTTTATATGCGTTATATAATTACGCATTAAAATATATTCAAAGTGAATTATTTAATCTTTTTATTATGTGAGACTTTGAATCTCTGCAGATATTTAGGATAATCTCGTATCGTGTAAATCAATAAGATTTCACAGATATGAGAGCAAAACTTATATATTAAAATTAAATCTCCTTTTATAATCCAAATTAATAATTTATTTAAGTTTCATGTGAGATTTTAAGAATCTTCGTAGGGACTTAAATCAATCACATTATCATATGGGATAATAAGTCCTCACAGATATAGTGATTTTTAATTTTTATAATAAATAAGTGATTTTTGTAAATAATTATATAATATACAATTTAAGAAACTTAATTAACTAAATTAATGTATTTAAATTGTAAGCATATTTACCAATTATATCTTTTAGTTATGTGAGATTTTTGAATCTCCGTAGGCTTTTAAGATCATCGTATTATCGTATGAGTTAATAAAACTCTGCAGATATAACGATTTAGTTTTTAATAATATATATATATATATATATATTCAAATTAATTAAATTTAATTCCTTTATCGTGTGATATTTAGAATCTCTGCAGATATTTAGAATAAATCATATTACTGTATAAGCTAATAAGATTATACAGGTATGATGATTAAAATTCTTTAAAAACATATATACATACTTAAGCAAATTATTATTAACACTTAAAAATAAATAAATTAAATTGCTAAATTTTTTTATCGTATGAGGTTTCGAAATCTCCGCAAATACTTAAAATAATTGTATTATTGTATGAACCAATAAGGCTCTGCAGGTATAGCAGTTAAAATTCTCAATCATAAAACATAAAAAATAATAATAATAATTTTAAACCATTTTCTTTCTTTATTCTAAAAATTCAACAATGGAGAAAATAATTAAAATTAAATTACCTTTTACAATTTAAAACATACATATCAAAATTTTAGAAATTGTTTTATTTGCAATATGGTGAATTATTTCTAATTAATTTCTATTCAAAAAAAATATTTTCACCAACAAACTTTTAAGCCCGAACTACGTGGACTTTAATCCCCATCACAGGGTACGTAGGCTTCAGAGTCAGATTTTGAGTTAAGTCCGTCCTCCCTCGTAAATAAATAAATATTTCCCACTTAATTCTTATCATTTTTGAAACACATGAATATAAAAGGGATAATTAAAATAATTATAAAACCATATTAAAAGAGCACAACAAACTTCAGGTAACCGTTCTGATAAACGAGTGTTGTGGGGTGCCTAACACCTTCCCCACACTCAACCGACTCCCAAACCTATTCTCTAATTTTGCAGACCATCCTTATCTTCCTTTTAAACGGTTTCCCGAGATTTCTCTCAAAATTTTGGTGGCAACTCCTCGTTCATGCGGTTCCCACCACGAAGGCCGGGACCTCCGCTTTCGCGCCGTCTGTGTCACATTTTTTAGGTGCGACAAACATGCTAGTTTTTCACATATATGTAGTTAGAGATCAACTATAAATAAATTTCATTTATGAGTTTAACTGTTATACCTTTAAAGACGATGCTGAAATACATATAAGCCAAATCGACCATGCTACAAAGCTTCCAATTGCATCCACTACTATTATTGCATCTTTAGTAGGGTGAGGTAGATCATAATTAGGC